GGATGGCGTTCCTGAAGGTTAACGCGCGTGGAAAATGGGCAGCGTACCCAACACTCAACACACAATCCTGGTTCACACGCATCTCCCAGTGACACTTCCAATCAGGTTGTTTTTCAAGTAGGGGTTCGGCGTCCAAGGTGTTCCTGAATTTTGGTGTGCGTAGAACGCTGGCAACACCCAACACACAATCCGAGTCCCCACCATTGTTTTTCGCAGTGCCGCCTCCAAACAATCCAGGGACTTTGTCTTGGGGGCACAGCCTTTTTCAGACAACATATTTGCTGTATGGCAGACAAGCACCCTACAATGGTATGTTGTTGCTGTTCTTTTGCAGGCGCACTTCAAAAATGGTCTCAGCAAATTTTCCGCCCCATCGCCGAAACCACTTGTTTAGACTATCTTGCAGCAGCGCGCAGCAAAGGTAGCTTGGGCTTTCCTCAAAGAACCTTGAGCCCAAACACTGTGGACAGAATCAGCGGCCACTTTGGAGTCAACACCCATGTTTTTTCCCCCTCATCAGCTCGAACGTTGCCAAACCCAGCCCAAGTGCCCAGTAACCCATGTTTAGAGTGCTCAAGTTCTGAGCCCCTTGAACTTGGGGGTCCGGTCTGACGCTTTAAGCTCAATCTGCTAGAGGGGTGCTGCCCACTAGTTGCCGGTATTCATTTACTGGATGACCTGACTGTTTGGCAAGTGTTGGCCTGCGCTTGACGCGTAGCCGCTTCAATTTTTTTTGGCGACTGAAACCCAACACAATTCAGGAAGGTGCTTGCATCAAACTTTCGGAACCCGCAATTGATCATAAATGGTTGGATCCCCAAAGGCTCCCTCTCACACAAGCATATTTTGCGTGACAAGACAGTTTCGGTCTGCAAGGGGGCACCGTTTTTTCAATGCAGTCATGACCGTCGTGGTGCTGGCAGGGTCGTTGCGTACCATGGACGCTTCAAAATTAGGCATTCATTTGCGGAAGATGGCACACCGTGTGGTGGCACCACCTGCAGGTGATGCCCCCCGCTCCCGCCGTCCTCGCGGACCTTGCTTGATGGCGCAGTGGCTCCCCTAGTCACGCGGGGGTCTTGTACATCGGTGTGCCTGCTCGCGCGAGGGGGAACGGAAAGAAAACACGCAATATCTTTGCCAAATCGTTATGCACTTTGTGGACACAGCCGGCAACAAACCGAAATCAGCGGTCACAAACTTATTCATTTTGCAGGGTGTAGGGGGTTTAATTTCTCATTGCCATCACGTCATGGCAGGGGAAATCATGTCATGCAAGGGGTGAATTGATGTCATGCCAGGGATGACATCCTGTCATGCCAGGGGTGGCATGCTGTCATATTGTGTATGACAACATGTTTGCAACTTAATTGAGGGCGTACCTTGACTTCCAGTTTCATTCTCAGCACTTAATGTACGCGAAGTTGGATATTAAACCATGTATTCTGGAAACTACATCATGTGGTGCTTCAAAGGGTGTGCCTTCAACACTGATTTCCTGCAGGTTTCCAATTTGAATCACCGTGGGATTGCGCTGGGTGTTTGGTGGGAGATGTTTGGGTATCAGTGACCTTGGCTTGAGTTGAGTTTTTGCACGCTATTAAGAATTCTTGGTTGTAGCCCAGCGGGTTATCCCAGAAAGTGGGAAAACTGTGGGAAAATGTTGGGAAGGAAGTGGGAAAATGTTGGGAAGGAAGTGGAAAAATGTTGGGAAGGAAGTGGGAAAAGGTAGGGAAATTAGTGGAGGAAAAGGAGTGGGACAACATGGGACACCAGCCCAACATTGGGAAAACCATGGGAAAGATGTGGTATTGGATAATAATGGATGAAGTGGGTGGACCAAAAGTAGGAAATTTGTTTTGGAAAGCATCCACGAGAGGACACTGCAGAATGTAATGATGACCGGAGGAGTCCCTCACAAACCTTTCCACCAGAGGCAAAAAGAGTTGAACTGCTGCTGGGGAAAATCCAAGGTTTTGCTGGGATAAATGCAGGATCTATTGGGGTTGTTGCTGTTTTTGCTTGTTTTGTGAAGGATTCATGAAGTACCATTTTAAGGGACAGAATTTGTGAAGCGGTGCTGTGTGAAGCGGTATGTGATGTAGTTCTTTGATGTATGGCGCAAGAGGCAGTTAATTGATTTAGATTTTTGGTGCGTCCCTTTTCGAGGGACGAAAGCAAGACGAAACGTGAAAACAAACGCTGAAGAAAAGACAAGGTAGTTTGCAATGTAGCGTTTGGTGTGTACAGTGAATTTGCTGTCCTCGCCAGCGTCAGCCACATCAGAATTGGGTCCTTGGTCCTTGGTGTGTTTTTGGCCCTTTGGCATTTCATTGTTCCATGAAAAGCCATGAAGACTCTTGGTGGTTTTGGCCCTTCCCAAAAATAGATGGGGTGGGGCGGACATCTCCCACAGGCAGAATTTAGTTTTTGGTCCAGTGGTGGCACGCCCAATGCTGCCAACAAGGCACGTTCATTTGCAGTGAATCCGCCCTTGCTAGCATCAGCCACATTAGAACGGGGTCCTTGTTTCTTCGCTTGGCCCTTGTGATATTGTTGAAATTCCATGAGGGGTTTCAAAAGACTCTTGGTCTTGGTGGCTCTTGCCCTTTCCAAAAATAGATCTTGGTCCAATGGTGGCACACCCAATGCTGCCAACAAGGCACTTTCATTTGCAGTGAATTTGCGGTCTTTGCCAGCGTCAGCCACACGTCCTTGGTGTGTTTTTGCCCCCTTGGCATTTCATTGTTCCATGAAAGGACTTTTGGTGGTTTTGGCCTTTCCCACACATATAGATTGGGTGGGGTGGACATCTCCCACAGGCAGAATTTAATTTTTGGTCCAGTGGTGGCACACCCAATGCTGCCGACAAGGCACGTTCACACCGTGGTTTTGAGCACGCGATAGCTCAAAGCCAGCGGTGTTTATGTGGATTCCCAGCATAGAAGCACAAACTGTGAGCTTGGCATCCGCTCGTGCACATCTGGAGACTGGCCAGTATAAAAACAGCCTGGAGCTCCCGAACACAAAGTCTGTTTGGTGAAGCTGAACGAGACGTGCTGGCCAAAAAGGAGGGAACAAAAAAAGAAAACAAAGGTAGCAAGAAACTACTTGGTGGGCCATCGCTATTGGGTTACATGCAGGCCATTACTACTAGCCAGTGGAGGCCATCGCTGTTTGGTTGGAGGCCATTACATTAAGAACAAAAAACTTAAAAAAGGGACAATCTGGGTCTTCAAGTGGCCAGGTCAAGAAGTTTAATTCGCGGGTTGCTTGGGGTAGACTACCCTTTGTTCAGTTTGTGCAGAATTCAACTAATTTCTTCAACCAAAAGCAATTCAGAACTCCCACCAAAGGACAATTTATTTATAAAATTCAATCCAAGTATTTGAACTCTGGTTAAATTAAAGTGGCAATTAAATAACAACTTGCCCCTTCTCACTACCAATCATTTAGTTTAGACAATTAAACTGTGTGTTTTTGGTTGCTAGTCTGGTTAATTCAATGGCAGCTCATTCAGTTGGCTGGACCTGAACGGATTCATGTTTGAACTCATTGAGTTCTTGTTATATTATAGTTTTCAATAATTGAGGGACCTCCATGCAATTCTCAGGCATTAAACAGCTGGGGACCCTGGTTCTCACCATTAATGCTACGTTCATTTTTTGCAGCAATGATCATAGTGTCGTCCGGGCAGCTTTGGCCGGCCTCGCCGACCTCGCAGCGTTGGGCAAAACCTTGCGTTCAGACGATAGATGTTGCTCGTATTGGTGGACTGGTCCGGTGTCGCGTGCTGCAGTAACAGCTGTCCGCGGCGTGTCCTTTAGGCGTCGCCCGATCTGGGGTCTTTGCCAGTGTAATTTGGCGCCCTGAGTGTGTGGATGTGGTGTAGTGGGTTTGTTATGATTTGTTTTGCGGCCAATGTTCCTTCTCTCGCAGGATGCGGCACGCGCTTTCCGTATTCTAACGCCATAGGGATTTGAAGCTGAGCCACCGCCTGCAGTGATCGTGTGGTTGTTCGTCACGAAGGGGTTTCATCACGCACCGTCCCCACCAGGCGTGCGTGCGAGCCGGAAGGGCGTTCAGTACACGTTGGTCACAGTACGCTTCTGGTGCTGCAGCTGCTGCTGCAGCTGCTGTGCTGTTTGGGCAGTGCAGCGTGCCATTTCAATCAACACGGTGGAACCAAAATGATGCCACACAGAAACCTAAACCAGCATGATATCATTACATTATATTTGCCACACTGAAGTGGCCACAGCTTGGCTCCACGGTTTGAGCCGGGAACCCCGCTCTGGAACCTTAGCTGGTTACCCACATTTGCATCCGTTCCGCCCGATTCATCGCTGCACCCGCTAAACCCCTCTCCAGCCCCACAGCGGCCCGCTATAGCATCCCAAGAAAGAACATGCCGAAGGCTGCCGGAGGCGTGGCAGAGGGCGCAAGCGGCGCATGCGGCGCAAGCAGCACAAACGGCGCGCACGGTGCAAGCGGCGCAGCCGGCGCAAGGGGCGCAAACGGGGCAGGTGGCGCAAACGGCGCAGGCAATGTGTTAGGTTGACCAAAATTTCGCGGGACCAGGAGCTTTCCACATGCGCCTTGCTACCGTCGTCTCGCCGAAAGTCGTGCTTCCATGGCGCCACTTAGCGCAACGGTGCTTGTCTATTCGTTATATACCTTTTTGGCAGGGCCATTAGCAATGCAGTTCGTTGTTTGTGTGTTGGCCTCTGCCAACTGACTTGATTGGACCAATTATAGAATTGTGCTCGTGGTGGTCAAGCGCATAGAATTTCCCGGAACAACATGAACTCAGAGCTAACTTTATCAACAAGTTGCGATCGGGAACGCAAACAGTCTAAAAAACTAAAATTAGTGATTGGGATGCATTGATTTCATCAAAAAATATTGAGAACACACGTCAAGACGCACAAAAAACCTTGATCTACGTGGGCTACACTACAACAATCCTTTGGCACTTGTGTGGTTTGGTGTATCCTGCCATGGTGTTTCTGAGCTCGCTCCTCAGTGTGGAATGTTCTGTCACACTTGCTGAGTGAAACAAATTGGAACAATTTCTATGCAAACATTGTGTGCAAGACAGCTGGCAAAGTTGGCGCAACTAAGCACACGTTCATCCACATCTTTCCCACAAAAAACAAATTGTTTTGTGCATTGATCCCACGCGAAAAAGAAACAATTTACCGTTTTGTCGCTTGCAGGCTTTAACTCCGCGATCACTGCGCCAGACGATGTGGCAGAGCTGCATGGTGAAGACCAGGACGCTCGATCACTGCAGAAATGGAACGCAGAGTGACAAGGGTACTTGACCGTAATCCACCATGAAAAATCCTTTGGACTTTCATGCAGGAATGTAGGTTCAGGAGAGGAGGTGGTCACCTCGTGCACCTGCCGTCAAGACAACCAGCAGCTTTGTGAGGATGATGGTGGAATGCCTGATGGGCTAGCTTTGAGGTTTACATGGGTGGTTTGGCAGCAGCGGGCTGCATCCAAAACGGTGCCCTACGAACAAGCGACGAAGCAGACATTCGGCTGCACATGTTTTGTTGCACAACCTACAGGGTCCATGTGGCGTGGTGTTGCCGTTGAGGCTTGCAACCATGGCTTCGGTGGAGGAACATTTGTTTCTTGCTTTGTGCCGGGGTGGTGTGCAACCCAAGTGTTTGACGGTGGCAATTGTTACCAACAGCTTGCAGTTCCATGGCAGTGACCATGTGATCCACTTGCACAAGTCACTATTGATTCGGTGTGTTCATGATCAAAAAGGCCATCCTGGTTTTGGACAATGTTACTATGCTTGCGCATGGTGTGCGTGGTGAAGCTGTCATGTTTTTCCAAAACATCGGGCTGAGTGGTGGGTTGTTCATGCTGGGTGTGCGCAGTTTATGCTTTGTGACCATAGTAAGTAGACGATTTTTTAATAATGTGCCAAACATTGCGCATTCAGATGGGCGCAATGCTCCGCAGGATTTTTGGCAGACTTGGGAAGTCTTGCCACAACCCAGCGAGCTGCTGACGAGGTCAGAGGGTTTTGCATTTTGCGGCCTGGGTTGCGTGATCATGGGAGCGCATGTGCAGTCCACTATGAAATTTACATGTCACAAGTCCGTGAATCTTCAAGAAGGGTGCTTCAAGTGCGAGAAGGTGACAGCACCAGATACTGTAGGTTTCATGCGGGAGTGACGTTTCGTGCGCAATGGGACATTTGTCGGGGGCCGTAAACCATTTGGTCTGTTGGAACGAGCTCCGCAAGTGTGGAACGTGGTTTACTATGCATGTTGGACTCCAGGGAATTCCTGGTCTCGCGGTTGAAGAAACATGAAAGAATCTTACCCGCAAACCAGTGGGTGAAGCGTGGTCTTCGGTGTTCCCTCCAGATGCTTCGGATAGCTTGGTTGCTTCCCGGACTGGTGCTTAGCAGCTAAGGGAAGTCTCGCCCCCCTCGTTAGAGATTCCTTTCGGTCCAGCTATCCTCATTTCTTTGGAGTTGCACCAGTCGGTTATTTGAACCTTGATGCTTGCAACCTACCAATGTCTCCAGCTCCAAAGCTGCAAGAACTCCATTTTTCCCAGGATCTCCTCTCAGTGCTAAGGGCACAGCAACTCAAAAAATCTCAAAAGTATTCATGATTCAGATGAATGGACATATGCGGGACCTCTGCATTGGTCAGCCCCAACAAGTTCCACGTTCTTTTTATTTTCTCTCAATAATACATGCATGCTGGGATGTGAGTACAGGACGTGCAAGATGCAGCAGCAAGACGAATCGCCGAACCTGCAAACCAAATCAATAGAGTAATCAACACACTTGCACGACCTGTAGGCTCCTCACAACACATGTCACATACCTGACTGCTGGACAATTTGCCAATGCCTCACGCCTCAGATACATCCTATCCGTCCCAACTTGCAACTTGCCAAATCCTTACCATTCCAATTGTTCAGCACAGCCGTCAAACATTCTTGTGCTCGAGCCTTCCCTCCAAGACTCAGTTTTGCTCGCGAGGCGAATGGCTTCGAAGACGTCTGACGCCGAGGCCCGGGTCGAGCGGCTCTGGGTGGGATCTCTTCGAACATGAGCTCCAGACGGGAGGTTCTCCGAACGAAAACGAGACGAGCAAGCACCGGAGTTGACTGCATAGGATTCGGCTTTGCCAAGCCAGTTGTTGTGACCGGTGGAATCAACAGGCGGAGACCCCACTGGTCGACGCCTTGATGATCTTTCGCCAAGGGGTCTTGCCACAGTGGGAGGCTGGATGGCGCGTGTAACTGCTGTTGTTCTTCCTGTTTGTTGTCAGATCTGTGGCCTTGCCAAATACAATCTTTTGGGTAGTTTCTGTTTCGCTGCCACGAGCCCGCCAAAACGGGAGGATGCTGCAAACTCTGGTGGTGGGCACTTTCAGTTTCACTTCAAGGCCAGGGGGATGGCGATTCTATCAATGGCGTGGATAGCACCGGTGAGGCAGCAGAGGAGATTGGATTGACGAATTCCTGCTACTGTGGCAGTTCTGGGGGTTCATTGGTAGAAGACTTGAAGCCTGATTTGGGTTGCATGCAGACCTCCATGGGTGGTGCGCAGATTGCCATAGCCTCAGTCCTGCATTTTGTTGACTGGGCCCCACAATGATTTTTTTGTGTGGGCGGCACTGCACTCCAGTGGTCACAGTCGTTTTGAACGCTCAATCCTTTGACCCCGTCACTAAGTCTATCGAATCGAAGGAACTGGTTGTGGATATAGGGCCGGTTACCATGCCAGACATGAGTTTGAGGATGAGTACTGGAACAACGTCGTGCTGGGCACTCTGGGGAACACTTTGGAGCCTGCGGACATGATCACTGGTTTGCGGCTGGTGGACCGGCCCGTGGGCGGGACACGGAGCGTTGTAGGGTTTCAGAGTGGTTTGGAGCAGTGAGGTGGGAGCTTGGGATCCAATTTCACTCGTCCCAAACCTTTGCAGAGTGTTTAGGGGGGCTACAAGCATCCATAAGGGTCCTCACTTTTTGGGAGAGGACTGGTGGCTCATTGCGGCCCGGGGCAGAGCTTCCATAATGCCGGCACTTGTAAGCATTCGGTAGCAGGTGATTTAACCCGTTCCAAACGGAGGATTTCACGATCTTGGCCATTTTGGTGTTTTCGTTTCCAGTCTTTGGACAATCGGGCGGTTCGCAACCAGGTCAGCCTGCACCTCGCCAGGACAAGGTCACCGGCCTGAAAGCCGGAGTGCCCAGCACCATCCGCATCGAGGTGGGGAGGAGCGATGCTCCAAGAAGAACCGGCTCCATGGGTCCATTGCTCTCAACAGGCTCTAGGATTGTTTGGACATGTTTTGGCCCACTCGACTCTCGACCCACTTCCTTCAGATGACGTGCAAAAAAACCGGATGCGCATGAAGCGACATCATTGCTTCATCCAGTCGGAAGACCATCCATAATATGGGGCCGACCTTCGACGCGTCGGCCACCATCGGTGGAGGTCTGGTTTGGCAGCGCCCAGGATCAGCAGGTGGGAACAGCACTGGGATAGAAAGGGAGCATGGGACACCTTTTCCCTGCAATCCCCCGAGAAAACACACGGAAGGCCATTGTCATCAAACCAATACATGTGGTCCTGTAATTATCTGACTGTATGCAGATTTATCCCCTGTCCTTGCCTGACAGATCTATATAAAAGAGGTCCATTCCTTCAAGGGTGGGGTGTCTTGCTTTCGACATGGAATTGTAGATTTCACCCCCACCCTCAGGTGGGGTTGAATGTATTGCCGTCCGGCTTGCACAGAAAACATCTCGGCATTCTCGTTGCTGTTGTGCTCAGGCGGTGGCTGCACTTCAACGCAACGTGGAGTGCTGTTTGGCCACCCGAACACTGGAGGGACGCCTGGGCAATGTGCCCAAGGCGGGTCGTTTGCCAACCGCTTCCACTGGGCGACTGCAGGTCGGCGTCTTGTGAGTGACCCTCTGCTTCATTCACCCCGCAAAGCTCAGTGCCCCCAAACCGGCATTTCCACGTGCAGTGCAGCATTGCCTGGGCAGAAACAGTCTTCAAGACTACCACCTGCTTTATGTTGTGGTGATGTCGCACGGATGGTTGTCGCAGGCGGAGCTCAAGGTTCACAAGCTCACGCGGCATCAACGAGAGAAAAGGCCGTGCCAAAGCTCCACCCAAAGCAGATTGATGCGGACCAAATAGCATGCCGTGCCATACTGTGTGTATTAATTAGGGAAGTGTAGTGGTGCAGCGAGGCAGATTTGAGACATTTAGTTCATGCATCACATTTGGCCAACAGCCAAGGGGTGCATTTTGAGATGTGCATTTGTTTGCAGCATTTGCAAAGCTTATGTTGTTCTTTTGGACAGGCTGATTGAAGTGAATCAGATGTTTCACATGTCCAGCTTTTCAGCAAAATAAGGAAGACACAAAGATGAAGACTTCTACCAGATATGTTCGACATGGTTCGACGAGATCGTTTGGTCGAGGAAGCCCTCGCACAAACCAAATCATCAAAGGCGACCAACGTGCCCGCCGCTATGTATTGACAGAGCGGATGGCAGCGTGCCAGGCAGAGAGCAATTGGTGTGTTGGAAGAAGCAGGGCATTGTTTTTCGTTCGGCACATCTTAAAAGAGGAAGGTCCAAATGCGGTGGTTGGACTCATTGTCATGTGAATGCTCAAAATGGAAGCCTTCGCGTTCCTATCTCAACGAGAAAACCTATTGAGATCACTTCATGCATGATATCCGCCACCTGGGAGACCCTACACCTGCAGGCACTAGTGGACTTTGCCGAAACGGTGTCCCAGATTGGCTGGTGCAGGAGTTCATCCACCAACCCTGGAAGTCCAATACCAATTTTAAACTGGTTGATCTGGTATTGAAGTGTCCCTTTAGTTCAACAATGGTTGTTCAGTAACGGCTGTGCGTCTATAATCGTCTATATACTAAATGGTTGCTCGACTTCTAGGGTCAATACAGTCAATACACGGTTTGGCCATCGGCTGTTGTTGAACCATGTAGCTTACCGGCCTGGTGATTCTGAAGAGTGAACTTCTCGAGCTTCGGAATCCTTGTTGCACTCACTTGCGCAGGCAGCAAGACGGTTCTGGGAACTCCCTTTCCGGGGTCCACGGTAGAGGGCTGCTTTTGTTTTCAGCTGGCCGGACCGCAGCGATACGGGCTCAGTGGGTGTGCAATTCGCGCTTTCCCCTGCTTCTGAAAGCGTGTGGAGGTGCCTGTGGAGATTTGAGGAGGTTATATAATTATATATATATATATACACATAGTTTTCCAGACTGGATGAAGAACCGGGTGAAGGTGGATCCTCATGAGGAGTGCCAAAGTACTGCAAGTTCCTTTTCAATCCTTTTCAGCATGTGAGAGCTTTCATGGTTCTCAAGCTGGAGTTTTTGTTGCAAAGAAGGTTGAGCATGTGAGTTGAGAGTTGATTTCTTGTGACTGGTGTGGTGAAGCTGCATGATTCTTTTGAATTGTGGCGGGTTTTTCTGCATTTCCTTTCCAGCCGCCCGTCTATCCAAGATTTTGCCATGAAGTTTTTTCTTCAGATCTTACCAGGTTTCATGGACCCATTGCTATCCCTGACAAGCCAAAATGAAGTTTTCAATTTCTAGGTTCACATGGCGAAGGTTTGAAAGCGACTGGTGCCAAAGCACGCTCGCTTTTTTGGTTGTCCTTCGCACAAAGTTTCAGGTGGACGTGAGCACTGAAGACAATGCTTCGCTGGGCTGCTTGTCTGATCATTTCGTTCAATTCACAGCGAGCCGCATCTCTAGAACCGCGGTGACTGTGGGCCTAAAGGTCCCAGAGAGGCGCAGAAGTTTGATTTCTACGACTGTCCATGTAGAACATGCGACTTGCTTGAGGCAGGCTGCTTTGCTTCCCAAGGTTCTGACGCTTGGCGTGGTCTTGGAGGTGAGCGGGAACTCGATGTACATCGCCAAGCTGTGCAAGGGGCGGACCTGCAACGACCTCAAGTTCCCCATTTTGGACTACGACGCTGCCACCAAGACCTGCGTTTGCACCGCGCACCCCTGCTGGAACGATAATGGGCTCCAGCACAAATGCCCCGGGGAGAAGCATGATGATGCTTGGAGGGAACTTCCTTGTGCAGCTCATCACTTGGCTTTAGGGATTTTCATCATGCCAGAGAACCAGAGAGAGAGAGAGAGAGAAAGAGAGAGAGAGAGAGAGAGAGAGAGAAAGAGAGAAAGAGAGAAAGAGAGAAAGAGAGAAAGAGAGAAAGAGAGAAAGAGAGAAAGAGAGGGAGAGAACAAAGAAAGAACACCAATAGAAGAAGAGAAAGCAAAGGCCACGCGTGTTGGTTGGAACTTGGAACGTTGATCCGCACTTTCAACGGCGGATCGGCCCGAAACGTTTCAGGACAAGTTTCTGACATTCTTCTACGAAAAGTCGGGCAAGCTCAACTGTGGCTGCAGCAAGGAGCGGAGATGCTGCGGAGATCGAAGATCGGAGATCGCGGACATTTGTGCCGCCCGTAGGCGTATGTGAACCGGTCCCTAATCTTACGATTCTTTTGGAGTGCATGTCAATTGGCTCGTATTACTCAGCACCGGTTTCACGAGAAACTTCTCAGGAAGACGCTGCTAAGATGTGGCGTTCAGCTTTAACTCGTTCTAAAAAGGCTGTCCAGGAGCTTGAACGCATCGAACCTCGCAGGACGTGTGGACGCTGGCTCTGGTTGTGAGTCCACACCCATAGTTTGTATAACCTTCTACTTACTTAGGCACTTTTCGAAGCCTAAAGTCTCTTGAGCAGAATGGCCGATGGCAAGCGGCGAGATGTAAATCAGTGAATGATCCCTCCCGTTTGCCAGTCTCTTGCCCCTTTGTAAAGCGTGATGGTTGCTGGCTTTCGTTGCTCTATTTATAGGATGACAGGATGTTAGAGGATGTTAGAGGAATGATCTGCATAATCAAGCTAGATGGAAGCTATGTCAGCTGGAAGGAGCCAGACTACAAGTCCCTGTACCTGAGCAAGGAGCTTTGCCCAGGCAGGGCAGTTCTTAGGATACTTGAGCCGAACCGAAGTGGTGCACTTTTTCCTACTCAAATAGCTGCGCTGCCCTCAGGTGAGCACTGCACCCCTGAACATCCCATCCTCGACTATGACCAGGATTTGCCGGGGAATGCCATGGTGCCTTTTTGATCGGAGACCATGTCTCACGCAAGGCTTTAGCCCCAAGGTGACCCAAGGTGCCCCTTTTCCAGTTCCTGGTGGCCAGACGGCTCACGGTGCAACTTGTAGCACTACGAAAACTTTCCAGACATCTACTGTCGGGGACGGGAATGTGAAGTCTCTTCATGTTGAGACTGAGTGACCATCTGATGCACTGGAGCCGCAGTATATAATGTTTGTCCACCTATCATAAGAGTCCGGGGGATGCTGACAGACGAAACAAACCCGAAACGGACCAAAAAGTATGAATGGTGCGACGGCACAGGTGATTTATGGTGATTTGTTCGGCATCTTTCAGGAAGCTTTATAGTAATCTATATCTATATTATATATATATGTATATAGTAGGTTCTGTCTTCCTTTTGTGTGGAATCTGTGTGGCACAGCCACGTCGAAACGGAGACGGGCCATTGGGGAGGCGTTCCCAGACAGGACACAAAGACCTGCATTTGCCGGACGCATCCTTGCGGAGACATCGATGGGCTCACGCACACGTGTCCCACTGAGAAGTTTCCGATCTTGCGGTACCGTGTGGATGAGGATGAGCAGACGAAGGACGAACGTGCAGAGTGAAGACTGGATTGAAGGCTTCCTTCCGAAAAAATATTTGAGATCACTAGGTTGTGTGCTTGTTCTGGTCCTCATGTGCTCCAGAGGTTTAAGTGATTCCCATCCGTCTCGAAGTGGGGAGCCGATCAGGAGTCAAAGAACGTTTGCGAGTGCATCGCCCCGATGCATGCGCCCAAAGATGAGCTGTGAGCTGGCCCAAGGGGATCCTCGGCGGGAAGAATGCGTTGGGGCAAAGTGGGCTTGAGACCAGGATTTGAAGAGTTAGAGTACTGAAGTAAGGTACTGGGCACGGGAAAGGCCTGGGAAAGGATAGGTCGGTTTGAAATGCTATGCCCTGTGTTGTGTCTTTGAGCAGCTGGTCGGGGCTTATCGATGACAGAGACCAGGTGATTCATCCTTCAATTGTTTCAATCTCCATGCCAGCGGCTGGCCTAGCGGAGGGCCAATAGAACATGTTTCATCTGCATACTTGAGGATGACTTGCAAGTCATTGGTTTGACGGTTTGACCCTTCCAACAGTGCCTGTCACTCCAGGCGCTAAAGATTTCTAAACTGGTCCCAGTCGTTTTTCATCACCGGCCACTTTCGCGCTCTTTCGGCCAGCTGCCACCTATGTTTGCCGCCGAGGTCGTAACTCCACCGTTCCTGGAACGGCTGTTGCTTCCCTGACTGGTCGACTGGACGGTCTCGAATTAGCTGGAAAGGAACAACAGTTCTGCATGCTATTGCTCTTGACCAAGAGCAGCAGAGTAATGACCAGGTATGTAGAAGTTACCCGTGTTGGATCGCCGCACGAAAAAAGACGGGCGTCGTGCGTGAGGGACTGGGCGTCGTGCGTCAAAGGCAGCGAGGGCTTTGGTGTCCGAAGGTTGGAGCATGTTGGAGCCCAAGAGCAACACGTTACAGGAGACTATTCCCTTTTTTGGTCCATTGATTGATCCGATGATCCATGTCTGAATCTATCCATGATGATCTATCCATCAATCCATCCATGGATCGATTTGTCTTCCTTCTTTCTGTTTATCTACTGTGTTTGAATATCGCATCCTGTCTTGCTCCAATCTAATCCAATCTGAATCTGATCCATTCATCACTCCATAAACTCATAGAACGGCAACTTTCCAGAGTCTCACGTTGAACCAATGACCTGCGCAGGCTGTGCTCCAGCCGCTGGTGAGTGTTGTTGTTTGCCAATGTGTGTGCTGGCTGTGCTCCAGGGAAAACGGGCGGAAAGTGCTTTGCAGTTAGCAACTTTTTCAGAAGTGCAATTGTTTTCCTTTTTTGTCAGTCCGATTGGTGAGCAACGGGGCTTCAGTGGCTGCAGTGGTGAGAATATACCGCACAGTTTGCGGAGAGCACATGTTGATTCAAAAACGGGCAGTGGCAGGCGGCCAAACCCCATCCCATGTTGGTGTGGGCCATTTGGGACAAAAAGGGCTAACGAAAAGGGCCATTCCCTCCGGTCAATCTTCGGGTGGAGATGCAGCTGTCAAACTTGGGCAATCCCATCCCAGGAGCCCCCCCCCAACTCTAGACAAGTTGCGGCACTTCAAGGGAAAGAATCCAAGTTCTTCCGCCCCCGACCATGTTGGTGGCATTCCGTAAACCGGTTAGGTCGCCCTGGCCGCCCTGGTGTGAGAGAGTATATAACAGCGCGCCGTTGTTGGATGTTTTGCCTGGCCCATGATGTTCGGCTCAAGGGCACCGGGTTGCTATGGTGTTCTTATGGAATTCGTAAGGTGAACCGAGGTGTTTATCCTGCATGATCGATCCAGGCGAGGTTGGTGGATACGCTGAAGGGACCAGGGGCTGATGTATAGGCGTTCCCATCAACTGTTCTCGGGGCGGAGTGGCGTGGCTACTCCTTTGCGCTCTTGTTTTTCCTGGGTTGCTAATTGCGAGGCCCATGGGTGTGCATGGACCACCAACTGCTCGTGGGTGGCTTGGGACCCTTATGAACCCTTTGGGAAACAGCTGTTGCCGATGTTTCCCACCCAGAGTGACTCAGGCTGGGCCTTTAGACATGCCCAAAGTCGCGAAAGCATGAGACCCTCGATTCGCGAGGACATGGGGCAAAGTGTGGGGCGCGTTCTCTGTGGCCCCGTGGGGGGCCTCAGCCGCCCGCGATGCACCGAAGATCCAGGGAGAACGCACCAGGAGTAGTGTGTTTGTTTGGTTTCTTCGTGATGGCGTGATGTGTGCAACGATCTCGAGGTTTCTTGGGGTTATGATCAGATGAGCACATGTAATGGTGCTTCCTCGAGCAGCTTTTTGACCACAACCTCTAATGACTCTAATGGAGAAGAACCGCCAGTGACAATGTGGCCATATAATGCCATATATATAGATATATGTAAAATTCTCTATTGGAGAGAGGTCCTGGAAATGTCAGGGTGGCTCATAACCGAGTTCAATTAGCTTCATCCGTCCCGCATATGTCTGTGTCTCGGGAGGAGTGTGCCCGAAAGGCAGGCCAAACGGGATTTTGCACCTGAAATGCCAGTCGAGCCACCAGCGTTTCGCGAACGCACGATCGCACGGATCGCACGCGGCGCGGTCCAACGGCCCAGTCTTGCTTCACGGTCCACACTGGTGCCGCTTGGCTTGGCTAAGAGCGCCGGACCACGTCGTAGGGTTTCCACCACCCTCAGTGGGGGCACATGCGTCTCGCGTGCGCCGATGCGACCGCGCACACACTCCAACGAACAGGTACATATCTATATATATATATATGGATGCATAATTGAAGGCACACACACACAGATCTCTCTCTCTCTCTCTCCCTATTTCTTTACATAGTTACACACACACATACCGTATATCTATCTATCTATCTATCTATATTTATATAAATCTGTGTGTATACCTGCATATTCAATATTTTGAAAGAGATTTTATAGCTTGTAGCTTAAGTTGTTCACAAAGCAGCTGAAGATTGGCCAATGGGTTACGATGGTCTACTGACAAAGGTTCATATGCAATTGATATGTCAGTGGTGAGAAGTGTAGCGTAAATGTGCAACCTGTTGAATCCTCCCCTTTTCGGATTAGCAAGTGCCCGGACTGTAAGCACCCAGAGCATGAATGCCGAGCATGATTTACTGTAAGAGACTTTCCGCTTCTGGTCGCCAAAACCAGGGTTCCGGAAGCAGGTTGAGGAGATCCATTCCTTTTTCCCACTTTGTTCTGCAGAGCCCGGGAGCCCTTTTGGGAATGGGTTGTTCTTCAAGAGGTGGAGGCACAAGTTTTAGCTTGCCCTTTATTTTGTCACGTCCTGCTTCCGTTTCGTGCCCCAGGATGTGGTAGAGAAAGTGGATTCCAAGCGCGTGGCAGTCGAGCATGCCGAGCGTGGCGAAAGCGCGCGGATGCTCCTTCGGCCGGAAGCACAGGCAGCACTCGGGACCTACCGCAGAGTGAGTGAGTGCAAGGGCACCTGGAACAGATGAGCACATGTCGAAGACTTTGGATGATGACCAGCTAGTAGATAGAAACGCCTTCCAATACTTTGGACTTGGTTAATTTTTTGGATCATTTTTGTTTTGGTGTGTGTTGTGCCGTCTACATGTAGAGAGAGAGAGAGCTACACATACGACCCGCCGCCTCTCGAAGCCAAGAGCCCAATGGCAGAGACGTGGTCGGAGTCGCTTCGGCCGCTTGCGGCCATGCTTGGAACATGTGGTTTGGGTGTTTAGTAGAACTCCCTGAACTAGTCATTCAAGTTGTCAAGCGGAAACCACCTGTTCGTAGTAAAGGAAACTGGTGCTTCAAGGGCCCATTTGAATCTACAGATTCTGAGTATTTCAGAGGGTGTGGACCGATTAGATCTCGACTGTATGGAACTTGGTCAGTTTTGCATGGAAGCTGCTTCCGGTGATCCTTTTTTGAGATGTTGAAAAGCTCTGGTCTTATCAACAGTGGCCGAGTTCCATACTCCAGGTTCCATAGCGCTCGTTCGCGAGATTGGTGCTCAAGCTGTGTCACTGGACCATCTTGTGTTGCGCGTTGTGTGGGTGGAGACGCCATGGCCGCCGTGGAGAACGTTGAGGAAGAGGAGGTGAATGAGGTTGAGCAGGCGCACATCAAGGCGCACAAGAGGAGCACCTGGGTGGACCGGGAAGAGGCACAAAAGAAGAAGCAAGATCCAAAGCTGGCTGACAAAATCCAAAGGCATTAAATCCAACAGCAAATGTCATAGGCTGTGTTGGATTGGTTAGGTTCGGTGGGATTTCGTCTTGCGCGCAGTAGATGAAGACGATGCAATCTCCTTGTTCCCTTCTTTTGGGACCCTCCATGTGAAGATGTCCCTTCGATGGCAGAAGCCTGGTCACCAGCCCCACACTAGAACCGGTTCGGCCAGGCTGACAGCAACCTGCCGACCTGCTACTTCCTGGCCACTAGCGCGAAGTGCACCAAGGGCTATGAAGGCGACTCTCAGTGGGTCATCGAGCTGGAGAAGGGCTGGAGCCCATGGATGCCAGGCAATGAGCCCTACTACGGCGCCACGGACGCACCGTTGCGCTACACCTTGGGGCGCTATGACTTCGAGGTCGGTCGCCAAGAAGATTCTTGATATTCAAACCTTGTAGGGGTGAGGTTGAGGAATCAGATGTGCCTGTCCAATGGGATGCTTGACCTCTTCCACCCTCATGTGTCAGCTGAAGCAGCCTGCTCCCAGGTTCACTTTGAAAGCGAGACCGTGGGCTCCCAGACCAACCTCACTACCGGCAAGGTCCGCCGCATCCAAAAGCTTCAGAAGGGCGAGCCCATGCCCGCCTGGGAGGCGAGAACAGCGAGAGCCAGGGGGCGGATTTCTCCATCCTTGTCATTTTGTGCAATCGCGAGTGAACACCCGTCTCGGTCCCTTAGATGGTCTAGCCAGGTCCACTTGAGTGACACTTGGGTAACTACGCAGCGACGTTAGCTGTCGCGTGGATCCCTTATGGATCCCTTGGTAGTGTTCCCTATGCCTGTGCCCATCCCTTTGGTCAAAGCTTGGCCGCAGGGCACGGGCATCCGCCGCCGCCCCGCCGCGGCGGCCGCTGGTGCGCCTGCTGGGGGCCTAGGCGCAGCGCCGGCCACGTCGGCGGCCAAGCAGGCGCAACAGAACCGGGAGCAACGGCGGAGCGGGTATGATGCCAACAAGGCGCCTGTGGGAGGAGAAGAGGCCAAAGAACATGCAGACTGTTTGGCCATCTGGACAAAGTTTTGACAATCGGAAGCGATGACGATATCTCCGCTTGTAGCTAGCCAGGCTAAGAATACTGCGTAGAGTTCCGCTTGCTGAGAGGTCTGGTCAAGACCTGGAAGAAGGGTAGAAAAGCTGAGCTGGGCAAGCACGTAGACTGCGCTCGCTGCAGCCCGAACCTGCTTCCACCTGTGGAAGATGGAGCTGTGAAAGTGTGAATCCTGCCAGCTGATCAGAACCGCCGACAGCGCCGTCCGAAGTAAAAGCCAGAAGCACGAACGGATCCAGATCGTGTGATCAGTGCGCTGAAGACCGCGTCGCCGCAACAAAGGTACAGAAAGATAACGGAAAAGCAGAGGAGAGCCAACTCCAGGACAAAAAAGCACGATCAAACTGGTCAAACATGAAAAGAGTCTTCCCAAAAAAGACGGAGTGCTTTCCCTGCAGCCGAAAGCCCCTTAAGCATGATATCCCTTTGTTACGCAATTGTGACTTTTAAATATTAATAAGTCAATTAGAAAACATAAAGATCTATCAACTCAACTAAAAAAATCATAACAAACTCGAAAATCAATGAATCACGTGGTGTCATTTATATACTGTAAGATACTGGATACCGTACAGTACGTATATTTCTTTCGCATTACAATTGCTAGTTCCAAGAATATATATACTTCACTTATTCGGCATGACAAAAATAGTAACTAAAGAACTCCAACTCGCCCTTGGTCGAACACAATGAGGAAGCTCTAAAGAAAGCACTTTTTCAGACACGTCCAGTTGTGGTGATGTTTTTGCACGTGTTTAATCCCTGGAACGAGGCGATGCAGCCCCACTCTTTGCGGCCGCAGGTGTCCCAATCCGCCTACAAGGCTTCTCCCGCACCATCGGCGCCCAAGCCGAAACCAGCAGCTGCCGGAGGAGCTCAAGGCAGTCCTTCTGGACAAGCCCCTGGGCATGTTCCACGCTACATGCGACCGCTGAAGTCCAAGGCATGAGCTTTTTGGTCCGTACCGAAATCGGTACCGAACTCGGTGCAGAAGGCCCTGTGAGCCGGGCCGGCGGTGGTGGCACTTTGCAGGATATCGTCGACCGCCTACAGATCTTCAAAACGTTTCATTAACCCAGACCCATCCTACGGGAAGTCGGGGGAGGCTAACTAGTTGATCAAACCAAGTCACGTCAGCCTTGGCGACCCTGGGTGTGTTATGTGTGTGTCCAAGTGGAAGTGGGGTTGGTCGCAAAACGGGGAGGAACCATTGAAAAGGAGTGGCTGGGGCTGGAAACACTGTATTTTATGGAGGCTTTGGAGGTTTGTTTGCTTCCCATTCCCATCATGTTTTCACGGACAGAATTCTTGTTGGTTTACCTTACATACATCCATTGACATTTGTTGGTGGCATGCATAGTGAATGGATGATACTTCGTTTTCCAGACCATGCCCCCTCAATTCCCTCTCCCCCCACAGCATTGCGCAGCATTCTCTACCCAAAATAACAACCAGGGGTCACATGTCGGGGTGGTTTTCAGTCCCTGGGCACCCCTGGCCTTCATGGATCGCACCCCGTCGAATGGATTTCTCACTCCCACGCTGCCCACATCGCTGAGCGAACGCACCGAGCAGACGGGGCAGAGGCACGAGACCTCGAACATTTGGCCACCTCATCGGTTTGTGGGTCAATGGGTGTGAACAAACCACTGGGAATCAAATGCATTTCTTGGAAGAAGCGGGCTGGAATGAGGTGCAATTTGGAAAGCATTGGTGGGTAGCACCGCAAAGCTCCAGGGAAAGCTTCAGGCAAAACTTGTTTGACTTAGAGACACACATTCGTGGGCTGTGGAAACACACCAGAATTTGCACAACACACACACATGCATTTTTTGTATATATGCACACACATCGAACCAATGCCTGTCGCCAAGGTCTTTACCCTCATCAGCAAAGCAGACGAAAGTAAGCATCAATAGCAAGCTCCACCGAGATTATGTACTTGGGGTTGATCAACTTGAGAAGTTATGCTGTTTGTATGTGCTGCCTCACTGATTGTCTGGTGTATTGTTCATGGACCATTCATGGAACTGGTGAGGTTGGGGGTTCCGTGCAACCTTGGCACGGCACTCCCACCACAGCTGGATCGTTCGCGAGTTCCCCGTTGTGCAGTGCGGTGCTTCGAAAGGAAGCGCTTTTGTGCGCCTTTATGGCCAAAAAGGAAAGGAAACAGAGGGAGACTGCAAATGAATTCACCTCAATTCACTTGATTGCAGGCCTTCCCCCGCCCCCGTTCGCCGCCATGGCCGCGTAGGCACCCGCTTCGAGCTCACGCCAGTCCCGGGTGCACTATGCCGCTGGGCGACGAGCATTGTGACGAAAGAAAGCACCAAAACACACACACACACACACGGTCACACACACACACACACATCACGAAAGCTACTTGTAGCACCAGCTAGCTGGAGTTGTCCTTGCTTTAGCAAGTGAGGGGCTGGAATCCTCGAGATCGCCGCATCACGTGAAAACTTCATATGTAGAGGGCCCCCCCCCCCGCGGGTTCAACTCCCCCCTGGGACGCCTCTGGGACACCTCTTGGACACCTCTTATGGCAGCCACTTTGGTTCAACTCCTCCGTGGAGGTTTTGGGATACGATGCAACAGATTCCACAGATTCACAAGCTAACGTTGGCTGTGTCATTGCTGTTCGTGTGTCTTACATGTTCACAACGTTTTACCTGATGAGCGAGACCTTGTGAACCATCCCTCCAACAGCCCCATGCCTATGAAAGATTTGCCTCACTCCGCTTGATGTCCCACCAGTCCTTTGTCACTGGACGGCGCTGTACGCTTCGCCTCCACTGACACGGATGCATCCCTGCTAGCTTTCATCACCTACCCTCGGCCTCAAGTATTTCTTTGCGGGGGCTCATCCTAATGGTACCAGCACGATCTGAGGCCCAAGTGGACTCCTCCCCGAACAGCCGCTCTACTGCCACAGGCCCGGTGGCCCGAGTTGGAGGGCATGGCATATCGCAGGTTCTTGAGTTGTGAATAAGGTATGCTAGCGGAGTCTAGGGCAATATGTTGGATGCAGTCGTTGTTGCGTACCACCCTGGTCTTGACCTGATCCATCAAAACTGCATCGGTCGCAGTGGAAGGATGCTTACCCAACGGTAAAGATATGCCTGGATACTGTACTGTAAATCTTTTGGTGTGAGTTGCGCCCATGGCAGGCGAAGGATGTAGCAGATGGAGCTGCTTGGCAGCAA